ATTGGGCTATCTGATTGTTCACAAAACAATATCGGATACTATGGGGTGTGATGTACTTGGTTAAAATATGACCTATCAAAATCTTCATAAATTGCCATTATTTTGATTTAAGAGAAAATAATGAGATTTACAGTGATTAATCTCATTGAAAACACCTGAATCCCTCAGTCCATTTCTGAAGTTTGCTGACGTAATCTGCCTCCTCATCTCATCAGGTAATCCATCCCACATATTTCACTACTCTCCATGTAAGGGAGAGTTAAGTCTAAGATGTCTACTCATCAGTCTTTTTCACACACCCCTCCCACCGAACAGGGCAGTACAAGAGTGGCATTTAAGGTGATCATAAAGCAGGTTTCTGCCTATGGTAAACCGGGTTTATTTGGCTATAAGGAAGTGAAGCAAATGATAGGTTGATTTAATGCCTGCCAACAATTCCCACCAGGAATCAGCAGGACGTACGTTGCTTGCTTTGTTCAGCTTTCCTGCCCCAGCATCATCAAGCACTTCCAAACCTACTACAGGTTTATAAAGATTATAACTTTGAAGCCTCCGCTGACACCTTTACTCTTTGCCCCTCCGAAATGGAAACAGATTCAAGCTCAGGTACGGATCCACTGCTGTCAGTCACTTTTCCGGCACTTCATCCAATCCTCCGTTCTTCACATGTTCCTAAACAGCAAGTTTCTGTAGGTCATTTGAACGTTCTTACATCCATATACACTTAGTTAACATTCAGAAACGTCTGCGACCAAAACAATGTTTTGCTCAGCATTAACTGCAAAGAGAAAGAGGTTGCCTGTCCCCCCTTGGTTAAGTCTCTGAAACAGTTAGAGACACATCAATACAGGCAGCGGCTATTAAACAAGATACTAAAAATACTTCAGCCTGTCGCTGGTCTGTGAATTACACACTGGTCTGTTTCTATTACTCTTTACTTCCCTGTATTTCTCTTCCAAAATGGAAACACATTCAAGTTCAAGTACGGATCCACTGATGATAGTCACCTTTCCAGCACTTCACTCACATCTCCATTCTTCACATGTCCCTGAACAGCAAGTCTGGGTAAGCAATTTGAACATTGTTAGATTCACACACACACACCTATTTTACACATGGGGTGGCTGTGGAGAGAAAGGGCAAGGTCCCTGGCTGATCTTTCCTTCACTAGCCCAGAGACACTGTGCCACCCTGACTGTAATCACCTAATTCAATCCCACCCGGGATCAAACCTTAGAGAATGATTCAATTACACGGTAGGACCTTAACAGCCAGCCTGCGGAGGGCCCTGTGGTTCTCGGGTTAATCACGGGGAATCGCATGGTGTAGGTGGGGAGGGAGTCTGTGGGGCACAAATGCTTCAAAGCTCTTTTGTCAGGAACTTAGATATTTACGCAGTTGGTGAACGCACACACTTTCCAAACCAGGCCGAGGCTTACAGCGCAGACGGCTTTAATTAAATCCAGTTAAATAAGGGGACAGACAGTCTTACAGTCTGAATGAACTCCAACCCCTTGTTATCCCTTCACGCTTGATCAGGACAGAGGTAGCAGTGGTTGATGCTGCAGCTCGCCAGCACAAGGTGAAAACAAGTGCCATTTAACATGGAAAAGGCACGTTCTTTTATCAAGAAACATTTGCTCCAGACATTTAATATGTACGTGTGTGTGGGGAGGGGGGAAAGAATGGAGCAATCCAGGATTTCAGGGACCTGAAATTCTTCATGGGGGGAGGGGGGTAAGAAAAGAAAAACAATCAGCCAAGTTACCTGCTACTGGTCACCAGCCTGTGACCACCTACTGGACAATCAATGTTCTGTCAAATGTAGGCAGGATTGGTATTTCAGGCATAACTCAGGTTTCCAGACTCACACGTGGACACTTCGGTAAGGCACTCGAGGACACCCAACAGAAATGCTCCCAGCACCAGTCAGCATGTTCAGGAGTGGTGGGAAAAAAACATTCTATGCAACAATAATATTTATAAAGTAGAACTGTATTATAATAGTATTATACAGGGAGCGATTCTGCTATAACTTCGTTGTGACACAGATGCCTACTCACACTGGCAACATAGAGCCCTTGTTGAGGCTTCCATGTCTGTAGTATTTAGTGATAAGAGATCACTGGCGATTGGGAATTCAGTTACCCACATGCCCAAGATAGACTATAGTGGAGCGGCACTGAATTAACTCCGTCTGCCACTTGAGCTAAGTACCAGGGATCATTGCTTCCTCAGAGCTGTGTACCCTGTCCCGGTAACAGCATGACGCAATGCACTGCATTCACTCCACAAACAGCTTTGAGGTTTAAAGTGGATTAGAGAGTACAAAGGGAACGAGTTTACCAAACTAATCTTTGAATAAACTCTCTGCCCCCTGTGATCACAGCTTCACAAATACACATGAAGCATGCAACCCCGAGTCGCACAGACCTGCTCAGAGTCTTACTATTATGGGCGATTCTTACCATTTTGCTTCCATCCTCCATCCCACTTCTGCCCCATCCCCCATAGATGCCAAGCAAGGTTATTCCACTAGCTCCTGCTGATATCTAGTCCAAGTCACCATTATTCACAAACAAAGCTATACAGCGAGCATCAGCAAGTTATCTGGCCATTAGTGGCATCACAGCCAAGCCAGATCCCAGGAAGACCTGAATAGTGGTCAGCAGAAGAAACTCTCAGAAGAATTTTCCCTTCCAAATCCAGAGACCCTGCAATCAATTTTAACCTCCTAATTCCTGCTGGGCTAAGATCAGCAGATACGAGGCATTGATCAAATATATTGAATGAATAACATTCCACGTCTGTGCCTGAATAAACAGGTAGGCAGAAGTAACCAATACAGGTGCACTATCCTGTCCTTGCCATGAAGCAAGATTGAGACAATGACCCTGGGGTCTCTGTACTGCAAGGTCATACTTATGCCAATAACCCTTAATAAATTGGCCTCGCTTCCCAACCACACAGTGGGGACAAAAGATTGCAATAGCAATTGGTAGTTGTCTTGGAGACCAAGAATTCCTTTGGTTAGGCATCTCACCCTTAGCGCATCCTTAGCCTCCCACCCCACACTGTCTGGACCATGACAGCACAATGCAACTGCGGTGTTTTGGAGACAGAAAAAACACCAGGTTAAACCACACAGCAGCTGTCAGTGTGCAGACACCGCGCACACCTCAGTGTGCAGCCTGCTGTTTAATTTCACCATTTGGTAAAGTTCAAAGTCAACAGCAAAAGCAAGTGGAAACATGATGTTTGAGTCTCCAGTGAGAGCGATGGCTCTTTTCATGAAGCATTCGCGGGATTGGGGGTGAGGATTGGACGTGTTCCCTAGCCACTTGAAGAGACAACATTAATCAAACTTTATCCCTTATACACAAACACACATGCATTAACATGTCAATAAGAGCAAAGCCTGTCTATCACTCCCAAGAAAACTGTGATTAAAGTCTGAAGATGTTAAACAAGTCGCACGTTCGCTTATTCAGTTAAATGTCTGCTCCCTCAAAATAAATCCAAAGAACACAAAACACTACCTGCTGGGCACTTTGGAAGGTAACATAGTTAGGATTTTGGCAAGGTGTCCCTTCCGTCTAGCCCAGAAGATTTAAAATTCTTTGTTCATATTTGTTTTCAATCTCAGGCTCACCTACATTAGTGGGATTGCTATTATGTGTATTGGTATCGTTGAATTACAATCTTCTTAGGCCCAGGTTTAGGGCAGCCAATGACAGCATCACCACAACCTGGATTTTGAACAACAAAAGGTCCATTTGTGGTGTCTCACATGAGCACAAGAGTGGTTTCTGAATACATGGTTGGCACCATGGAGGTCTCCTGGCATGTAAATGGCACACACCAAGATGACGATGGAGGAGCGGAGAAGAGGAAGGATGTAATCTTTCATTGACAGTAATGTCAGTGGAGCCTGCAATCAAATAATTGCCCAAAGGTGAAGTTGTCTGGTGAACATGGGTTCTAAAGAAAAGTAAATGAACAAGGTAACCCAAGGAAAGCGGGATCAATAAGAAAGAGCGATTTAGAAATCTACGTCCCTGCTGCGATTCCAGAAGGTAACAAGGTTACCCATCTAGGTAGATAGGAAGGGCTGAATGGCCTCCTTCAGTGTAGAAAATGTCTGGGTTTCTATACCCTCGAGGCTCCAGAAAGGTCACAGTGCCATCATATCACTTACCTTTCCAAAAGGGAGTTTACATGTTTGGCAGTATATATATATATATATATATAATTTACATATATACACACATACACACACATACACCTCTATATATTTAATATATACACACACACACTAAAATCTGTCCAAAGTAATGATGTTTTCAAACAGATTTGCCATTTGAAAACCACGACTAACAGACATTGATGAAATGAATACGAAAAAAAACAGTGCATCCAAGAACTGATCCTTTCAAGTTCCAGGTTAAATACAGGGTATTCATTAATATTCTACTCAACAGCTTCTGTTTAGTCCCCTCATCAATGACACCTTTGAAAGACAGCATCTTGGACAGTCAAAAACAAACACCAATCATCCCAAGTACTGATAGACTAGCTCTCCTCTTGGCTGGCTGAGGTGGAGTTTTTACAATCTATTGCAATATGGATTTCAAAATGTCACCCTGAAATTTAAGAACCCTTCAAATCTTGCATCATCCCAACCTCTGCCAGCTTCACTCTCCTGCCGTCCCCTCCGCTCGTCTTACCATGGTCTGTTACTTGTTCATTACTCCCTCCATCTCACCGCCAGTGGCCAAGCCTTCAGTCACTATCACCCTCACAGGTACACTTTCCTCATGTCCCTGACATTCAAATTCTCTTAAAAACATTTCTTTGCACCTTCCGATTCCCTCTCCTTGGTGATCTATTAGTTGCCAATTCTCAATCGGGAGATGCTTTGAGGTTCATTTTATATGAAAAGACAGCTCACTATACAGGGCAAGCTGTACCGTCAATGGCCACCAACAGGTTAGACTTACCCAAGCATTCGTTGGCTTCTCTAGCTGTTGCTCTCTGCCACGGTCGGTCGTAATGAAAGGGTTTGCACTTGTCACATTCGGGACCAGCAGTATTGTGCTTGCAGTCGCAAACCAGATTCCCTGCTTTGTCCTTGACGCAACAAGATGCGTGTCCATTGCATTTACAGCGTCCGCCCACCTGAAAGTCAGCCACAGCATAATGATAAGAGTCTTGGATCATGCTGATCTCCTCTTGCTTCCCATCTCTCCCATTGTAGTGCCGGTCTAGGTCCCGGAGGAGATGGGGCCGGCTGAACACCACCCTGATGTCTGTGGCCGACACCCAGTCCTGCAGGACTGGGCTGTTATCAAAGTCTTGAGATGAGGGACGCCCATCTAGAGTACTGAAGGCAATCAGCCCTCCGGTCAGAGGATAAAGGTCAGTGTGCCCATCTGTGCACAGAGCTTCCTGTTCGTTCTGTTTGGTGATTGTGGCTTTGTTGGGCTTATTGTACATTTTGCGACACTGAGAGGAATAATACTGGAAGGGCACCCACGTCTTCCCATAATCCATTGATTTAAATATCCCCATGGATTCTGGGCGAGGGGAACAGAACTGCAAGCTGACGTAGGTGATTTCAAATTTCTTGTTCAGGGAAAACGTAAGCGTGACGTTGTAGGGAGATTGGTAAAAGTTTTCCGACTGCCAGCAGCTTAGATTGTGGGCGTTATTCAAGTCAGTCAAGTAAGAAGGCGGGTGGGCCTTTCTGGGGTCGGAAGCATTGCAGATCTGGCATGTCTTGGTTTTCACCTCTCCCTTCTCATTGATGAAGCAGTATCTGTTTGGAGGCCTCCCACACGTGCTGGACACCTGCACCTCTTTGGCAAAGGCAGCGTTGACAAAGTCAGGAATGCAGCGCTTGGGCTGCCCGGCCTCGTCATAGCAGGGGTCTGGGGGGTTCTGCTGGGCTACGAAGACGTTGATGGCCTGGGAGCTTCTCAGGAGGCAGACAAAGGCGAGCACTATCCAAAACTGCACCATCCTTCATCCGCTGTAGGAATCTCGAGCCTCTGAGAACAATGCAGCACCTGCAAAAGGAGGACCATTGTCAAGAGGCTGCACCTTATTAAGCAAGTTTTAAATACGAGTGTTAGCGTCCATTTTAGAGGGAAGGGAATACATGGGGGATGGTGGGGGCTGACTGGTTGGTGATGGATGGAGGAAGATCTTGTAACCTCCGAGGGTTTGGGCTGAAATTCAGCCCCGACTGATGGACTGATCATATCCTGTCCAATATGAAATGAGTTTGGATTAGTTTCAACTTGCGTCCTAGTGGGATTGGGCTGAAAGCACATCGCAAGCCACAAATTAGCACAAAATCAACAATTCTTATTCAACAAAGCCAGTGAGATGGTTAGTGTAGGAAGTGGAAAATTCACCCTACTAATGCAGTGTGTTATTCAATAATAACTGCAGAAAATCAACTTGAAAGTTAAGACTGAATTCAACCACTTGCCAAATTCTGGAAGCTCTAAATTCTCCATAAATTGAGTAAATTTAGACCCAGGTGGAATTACTCTCCACAAATGAGGACACAATTGGGCTCAGCTGTGATGGCACTTAGCCTCTCAGTATTTCCATATTAGTAATGACCGCAAGAGGTTGCCAGGTCCCAGAAGGTGGGCTATGCCTGACGGGTTGAATCCAAGCAGGTCAGGGACTGTGGTACACTCTAGAAATGACTGCCAGCTGACTGAGATAAACCATTGCAGTGCACGTCCATATGAAAGCTGCCCATCAAATACTCAATGCTGCAAATTAGCTTCACATACAATCATAAAAGATGTATGCCATGACTCAAATTCACTTTAGACTTGTGGAAAAGCATCCCTGTACACAGCAGAAACTGCATGAAGCAGCTGGATGGTTAATTGCAAATGGTAATTTCTTCCATTTCTGGTAATGGTCCAAGCAAGTTATTTCCCCAAGATATGCCTCACAAAATGACTCCCAAAAAAGCCAAACAAAAAAAAACTAAGGCTCCTCACAATTTCCTACATCTTTTGACAATGATTTTCTCCACTACCCCTCAATCAATGAATCTCAGCGTCCTTGTCACTCAGTTCTCCCTCACCATTCCCGATTGCTTCCTCCAGGAATTAAGGTTGACCATGGTAGAAAAAAAGGGGAATCTAAGCAGTATAATCGTTAAATCCTAAGAAACAGACTGCTAAAGGGATTTGGGACTTTCTCACCCCCACCCTCCGATCGGCCAGTGAAGGCAGAGTTGTGACTGATTCTGTCACCGTCACAAGCTGTGACCTGGGCTGGTGTACACATCAATGAGTTCAGGAGTAGATTTTGTTTTCCAATTAGGACTCTCGCACATTTTTTCATCCCACACTGGGTTTAATTAACACGAGGCATGTAGAGGAGCTTTTAGCAGTATAATGAGATTCTTGTTATAAGCAGCAGGCAAGGCACCCTCCCGTTAACCCTCCTCTGTCTCTCAACTTCACCTCTTTGCCTTTGTTACTTTCTCTTTTCTTCCTGTCTGTTTCAACATTTGCTCTGCCCTTTGTTTGATTTCTTTCTCCATTTACGTCATTTCGATTTTTACTCCCAGCTAATCTCACTTCCCACCCCAGCCCTCTTCTGTCTATAAAAGCTAATATATTAACATAATTAATTCTTCAGGTGCTGGTTAGGTTCCACTGTACTTCACCAAGAGGCAATTTCTCATGCATGCCCAGACAGTTAGGATCCATGAGCTATTTGATTGTGACATGGGAGCATCGTAGCTGAACTCCAGCCACTCCTTTAAAGCCCACAGGTGCACACAGGTGCACAACAGAAATAGATATTAGTACCTGGGAGGGAAATACAGGCTGGAATCCAATCAAGGAGCACAGACTGTATGTGGAATAAATCCCCAGGAATGACTTAAAGTTTGGAATTCATTCAAGGAGTTTGGAATAACAGCATGAAAGAGTTAAATGAGCAGATTACAACTATCACCCAAATCCCCCAAGGTGATATTGCAAAACTTTTGATATCACATTGTATTTCAGCAGTATATACTGTGAAGTTCACGGGGCATTTTATTCAATTTGTGTCACACTGGCTATTATTGCAGCCTCTGCCAGTCTGTGCATTCTGGGTCAGTGATATGCAACTATCCAAACCAAGCATTCCATTCAGTTAGGGAAAAAAAATATACTGGGCAGTAAGTCCTGCGATCACAAGAACCTGCCTAGTAAATGTCAGGGGCATTACCTGAAGCTCTAAACCAGAGAAACAAAGGGAATTAGGAGTTTATTATATACAATTGGTTTCTTCCACGGCTGTGTATGTATTGATTTCTTCTAAATATACATGTATCCTGTTCTCTCTCCCTCACTGATACCCTAGTATAATGTCACAACCAATTCTATTACATTAAAACATTTGTAACTAGTCTCTGCCATCAGAACTTCTACTCTGGTTTAACAGTTAAAAAAAAATGAGTGTTTAAAAAAAAATGAAGTTGTTCCAGATGTTCAAAACAGGCTGAAACTAAACAGACTTGAGGTTGGGTTACATAGGGCACCCTAGAACCCCTTAAAAAGCATACACTGCTTAGCTATGCAAAGCACCAACACACAGCATAAAGTAAAAGCCATTTCAAGACAGGTACTGATTTGATGATTTGATGATTGTTCAATACTCAAGATGACATTTTTAAACAGGGTAAGAATGTATCACCAGAACAACAGAATACAAGTTATCAGAAATTACCCTAAGACTTCACAATGCACTGGGGAAATTGTTTTGTCCACAAAATATACAGTCAATTCACTTTACAGTATATTCTGTGAAGCGCTTTGATACATCTTGACGACACAAGGCACTAAATCAAATGCAAGGATTATTATTCTTGTCCAGCACTTTGGGACGTCCTCCGAACATGAAAGGCGCTATATAAATCCGATTAGTAATAAATGTTTAGAATATCCGTTTGTATATCCTGTGAACCTTTGAGACATCTCAACAACATAAGGCAAATGCAAGAATTACTATTATATTCCGTTTTAGCCATCAGACCATAAGAAGATAAGACATACGTTAGAAAAGATGCAGACAAGCAACAAAACTGATCTCAACATGCAAAGGGAGGAACTATTAAGGCAGTCTAGAATGAAGATAGTTATAAAGGGGAATTTATCTAATATATATATGAATGGTAGAGATAAGTGAAATCGATGTATTCAGAACAGAAATTGGTGAAAAGTAAGTTTCGATATCTTCTTCATCTATACTAATAAAGCCGAAATGTCTGTGTGTGACTAAATGTCTGTGTCCGCCAAGAACACAATAACTGATTGACGTAGAGACATGCTTTATACCTCATCGGAAAGGTCTTGCATGGGGTAGCGTCATGGGCGTATTTTTGTTCAGGGATCTCCTATTGTTGATGAGCTATATTTAAAAAATGCTTTAAATAAGCCCCAAAAATGAGACCTGCATGGTATTCTGCAACAAAATAGCGACAGAGAAAAGCTATAACTTAAACAAGCTCATCACATATGTACGTACTCCAACAAGGAGTCCTCCCAGCTGAGTATAGATAAAGATGAAATGTCTGTCTGTGTCTCTGTCTATATTGGATTCTTTGGTTGCAAGCGAAGCTGCAACAGGTAAGGCTAGTAACAAGGAATAATTTTGTGAGAATTTTTAAAAAATAATCTACCAAACAGAGGCAAACCCATAGGATTATTCAAAATAAAATTACATAGATGTCATGATGGGGAATAATATTAATGGAGAAACGAGGGGCCATTTCTCATCACTAAAGTTTTTTTTAAAAGTCAGGACAGAATAGTCAACAAGAATATGAACATATTATTAGCTAACAAACGATATGCTAACATATCCCTGTGGCATTCACTTTAAGTCATGCCACTTTAAGTGAATGCCACAGGGGGGGATGGAGTTGGGAATTAGGAGACGAAACTAACCTTTGGTCAGAGCAATGCTGAGAGCAGCAAGACAAGAAAAAGTAACAAGGAAATGTTCAAAAGCAAATTATAGATTTATTTTAGGAAATAATATCTCAGGATACAGTAAACAATTTGGGACGTGACACGGGCATGCAACTGCTAGGATGGTAGAAGGCAAACTGGATGGACCTTGTTTTTTTTTGTCTAGCAATTCTTATGTTCTTAGCAACCTGAAAATGATTTAATTTAGTCCACTAACTATATTCTGATGAGAATGAGAGCAAGCACCAAAATTGAAACGAAAACCTGTGATGTCATTAAGGTTTCTGCAGAGAAATCACATCAGGTCAGTTGGAACTGTAAAGTCCAAAATTCAGACACTGAGATGCAGCTCAAGTGCCTTGCGACCGAACAGAGAAATCACTGCAATCCCAGACAATCATCTCTTGTTCCTGCCTTTCCTTAGTGCCCATCACTCCTTTCCTCCTCCTCCTCCATTGAAAGAGCTGGCTTACGTTCAGGTACACTTCCATTAGGTTGTATAAGTCAGCCTAGATAGCGAGTTGTTGATGACTATTTGATTGTGAGAGCAGCAAGGGGTCATCATCTTCAAACCCAACTGCACGTCTTACCTTGGTGCACACAAGCAGACGCGAGAAAGGAACATTGGATAACAATCAAGGGTTCAAAACCCCAGCTAATTGTCCTCTCCCTAACCGAGGGCACAGACCAATTACAGCACCCCCACTGCCACCTAACTGCACAAATTTTGCTTCGACAAGGAGGAAACAGCAGGAGAGATCAGCTAAGGAAAAGCTTTTTCACTTAAAAAAAATCCGGACAGTGTTGCAAACAAAAAGAGAAGGGAGTTTCCCTCCCAGCAGTCCTGATCAACAATCCCCCAGATAAAATTAGTCATTCATGGCCATTTGTGAGACATTGCTGTGTGCAAATTAGCTGTCGCGTTCACCTACAAAAACAGTCATTACACTGTACAATAAATCCTGCGACGCACTTTGAGACTTTCCACAACTCGATAAAAGCTCCATTTCAAATAATAATCATTTATAAAACTGGAAAAAAAGGAATTTATCTGCTAAAGTTTTTTT